CAATGAACTGCCAAAGGTTGAGACCCACTGGGTTGAGAGGTTCTGTCTAAACTGAATATAAAAATGAAGGCCGATCTACCCCAGCTCCTAGTAACTCTTAAACTCACAGCATCATAGGACTGAGCTCACCTGCTAGCTGAAAACACCTGGTGTTCCCTCCACACCTCCCGTGGGGCTCCCACTGTGTGCAGACAGCTCTGACTGGATTTTTTGGGGAGCTCACAAACGAGGTGGATGAAAGGTCACTTACCTCAAAAGTGTGAGGACATGGGAAAAAATACACACACAACACATGCAAGTACTGTACAATCGGAGTTTTACAGACCAGGAAACTGGCACTCTGAAAGGGGAAATTACCTCCCAGCCAGTTTGTGGCAGAGCCAGGACTCTTACCCAGCATGCCATTCTTCCCTGTGGCTCATTTTTACTTGAGGCCACACTGCACGGTCTACACTTCCTACATTTCTGTTGGCTGGGCCTGGCCTGCAGCCAGCATCTTCACTAGCAGCAGCCACCTTTCAGGGCTGACACTGGGCCAAGCATTGGACTAGTTGTTGAATGGGTGAATGGAGCCAGCCCAGCACCTGCCCACTGCTGGCATTAAGAGCCAGTGGATCAAATAACCTAGAAAATGAAGCCCTTTGAGCTGAATTAGCTCATTTTTTTTCACAGACTTGGAGGTCTTCGTTCTTCTGGAATCCTTGCTTCACATCGTAACAACCATATAATTCTCCTAAATTCTACCTTTATATAATTTATATGTAAATATGAGTTGACTTGAGTTACGTTGACCTAAAGCTATGTAGATATTTCATTTAATGTATTTGTATATGTCAGTGTTTCAGATTTTATGTGTTGGAGCCAATCCATTTATATTTAGGTCCTCAAACATTTTCTGTAGCTCATTAGAATGTCCACTGGCCCTGGACTGTACCCTAATGTCTAACAGAGCATAGATGACCTCAAAATAAAGGGATGGACTTTCCCACCTGAGCACAGGAGAGGCTTGGAGAATATGGTCAGTGTTGCTTTCAAGGACCAGAGACTAGTTTGACTTTTTTTTGGTTAAAAACTTCATTAAGGTATAATTCCCATACCATACAATTCACTCAGAGTACATATGTCATTGGTTTTAGGTGTATTCGCAGTTGTGCAACCATCACCACAGTCAATAGGAGAATATTTTCATCATCCCAAACAGAAACTAGTGCACTTCACATGTCGCTCTTCATTTGCCTTCCCAAACCCCCTCCCATCTGAGACAAACACGAATCTACTTCCTGTCTCTCTAGGTTTGCCTATTCTGGATATTTCATACCAGTGGAATCACACGATATGATATGTGTTCTGATGTCTGGCTTCTTTCATTTAAGCATGTTTTCAAGGTTCATCTATGTTCTGGCATGTATCAGTACTTCTCTCCTTTTGATTACCAAATAATATTGCATTATATTGAATAGACCACACTTTGTTCATCCATTCATAATTTGAAGGACATTTGGGTTGTTTCCACTGCTTGGCTATTACGAATAATGCTTCCATGAACATTTGTGTACAAGTCTGTGTGGATGTATGTCCTTATTGCTCTTGGACATACACCTGGAGTGGAACTTCCGGGTCATCTGGTAACTCTGTGTTTAACATTTTGAGGAATTGCCAGAACTGTTTTAGAAGGCAGCTGCGCCATTTCACATTCCCGCCAGCAGTGTGTGAGCTTTCTAATTTCTCCACATCCTTGCCAGCACTTGTTATTACCTGTCTTTTTGATTATAGCCATCTTAGTGAGTTTGACATTGTACCTCACTGTGGTTTTGACTTGCATTTACTTGATAGCTAATGATGTTGAGTACCTTCTCATGTACTTATTTGCCACTTGTTTATTTTCTTTGGAGAAATGTCTATTCAGGTTCTTTTTTAAAAATTGAAGTATAGCTGATAAACAATATTGTATTGGTTTCAGGTGTACAGCACAGTGACATGACAATTATATACACTGTGAAATGCTCACCACAAGTTCAGTTACCTTCTGTCACCATACAAAGATATACTGCAGTATTATTGACTATATCCTCTATGCTGCATTTTTCATCCCTATGACTTATTTATTTTATAACTGGAAGTTTGTACCACTTAAACCCCTTCAGCTATTTCGCCTATCCCCCTGGCCTTCTCCCCTGTGGCAACCACCAGTTTGTTCTGTTTATGAATCTATTTCTGTTTCCTTTTTTATTCCATACGTAAGTGAAAGCATATAGTATTTGTCTTTCTCTATCTGACTTACTTCACTCAGCACAATGCCTTCTAGGTCTATTCATGTTGTCACAAATGGATGAGCAATATTCTTTTTTATGGCTGGGTGATATGCCACTGTATAAGCATACCACTTATTCAGATTCTTTGTTCACTTTTAAATTGAGTTATTTACCTTTTTATTGTTGAATTGTAAGATTTCCTTATATATTCTAGATACAAGTGCCTTATCAGATGTATGATTTACAAATATTTCCTCCCATTCTGTGGGTTACTGTGTTTGTTTGCTAAGGCTGCCATAACAAAATACCACAGGCTGGGTGGCTTAAACAACAGAAATTTATTTCTCACAGTTCTGGAGGCTAGAAGTCTAAGATCAAGATGTCTACAGATTTGGTTTCTCCCAAGACCAAATCTGAAAGTCCCCTCGCCCTCAATCTGTTCTCTTTCATGTGAAGAGGGCCATCTTCTCCCTGTGTGGTTATAAGTTCTCTCCTCTGTGCATGCCTCCCTGGTGTCTTTTCCTCTGCTCATGAAAGCACTAGTCATATTGGATTAGTGTCCCATGTAAGGACCTCAGTTTAAGTTAAACACCTATTTAAAGACCTTCTCTCCAAACACAGTTACATTCTGAGGTACTGAATGTTGGGACTTTACCATGTTAATTTTTGTTGGGGACACAATTCAGCCCATAACAGTTATCTTTTCACTTTCTTGATGGTGTCCTCTTTCTAAAGCAGAAAACTTTAAAAATTTTAACAAAGTCCAACTTAATCTATTTTTTCCTTTGTGATTTGTACTGTAGGTGCCATTTCTAAGAAACAATTACTTAATCCATGGCCACAATTTATGCCTGTTTCTTTCTGATAATTTTACAGGTTTAGCTCATACATTTCAGTCTGATCTATTTTGAATTAACTTCTGTTTATGATGTGAGGTAGGGGTCCAGCTTCATTTTTCTGCATGTGGAAATCCATTTGTCCCAGTGCCAGCTGTTGAAGAAACTATTCTTTCCCCATTACATTGTCTTGTCACTTTTGTTGGAAACCAGGTGATCATAAATGTGAAGGTTTATATCTGGACTCCATGTTATTCCATTGATCTGTGTCTATTCTTATACCTGTTCTGCACTGTCTTGATTACTGTAGCTGTGTAGTTTTGAAATAACGAAGTATGTGTCCTCTCTCATATTCTGACTGTACTTAAACTCCCATTCAGTTGTTTTGTTTTTTAGATTACACATGTGAGATCCACATATAAGTGAAATAAACTTTTGGTATCAAACACTGTAAGGGGTGTCAATCAATAGCACAGCTTGGGAATTTGGGCCCATACTCAAAACTTCATTTCAGGAACACGGGCTCCAAGTTCTACACCTGCCTTGGAGAGATGGATTCCCGCCCTCTCAGCCCACAGCTCTTCATGATGAATCAATGGAAACATTCTGCAGAGAACAATGATCCCCTTGGGTTATTTTAAACACCATTTTAAGTCCTCCCCACCTGCTCTGCTCTCTAATTGCTCTACAGAAACCACGTCATTCACAACTGGATTATTAATGAACTGAGAGGGAGCCAGGGGGCAATTGAGGGGGAGATTTCAGAGGACTTGGGGGATCTGGAGGCCTGCAACAAGCCCAACCCAAAGGTTTTCATGTCCCCAGAAAGGCTATGGAGTCTTCTTAGCAAACAGGGAATCACTAAACTCAGGTTATACTATTGGCCTCAAAAGAACATTGCTAGTGTGTGATGACCCAGAGGAATTCTTCAAATGAGACTGCTGGGAATTAGCTGGGTACCACCCCAACCCCCCAAACTTAAACTTTCTCTTACTCCAGCTGGCTGGCCGTGGGGTGTGTAGGGCTCTAGGCTGCAGGCTGCAGCACTCAGGAAACAAGGCTCTTTGTGGAAAAGAGAACTCTATTGTTCTAAAGCCAGTGTTCAGCTAGTGTGAATTCCAGAGAATGTTTTGGGATGGACTTTTCCCCTTTGTTAACTTTCTCTCTCCTCCTGGGGGTTGGTGGAGTAGGCCCTCTCAACAACTTACAGATAGTTAAATCCATGTTGCTTAGCGTGCAGGGGGCTTCAGCCAGGGAAGGTGGCTTGAATTAGATGACAGAAGCCACTTTTATTTTTAGCGTTAAATCTCAGGGAACCAGCCCCTTTCTAGATCCTGCACATCTCAAACGGTGGCAGACGTCAGCAGAGGTGTGACCACTTCCTTCCTTCTTCACTTCACCTCCTTTCTTTCCAGAAAGAGGAAATGATGCGAGACCACGTTGCAGGCAGTGGCTCCCAGGCTCCCACTAGTCTCTCCCCCCTCCCAACTTGGGGACCTGCTCCCACAGACCTGTCCTCAGCGCAAGGCCCAGGTGGGCTCCTTGTCATCCTAGGAAGCCTAAGCCCTCAGGCTGCGCAGGCCCTTATGGTAGGAGGTTAGAATTTCTGGCACTGGCACTACTTCTATGTGACTTTGGGCAGGCTACTGTTCCTCTCTGGGTCTCTTGTTGCCCTTCCATCCAGTGGGAGCAAGAACAGGGCCCTGGGCTTCTCGCTTTCCATGGTGGGGTGAGGTAGACCACAGGAAAACTATTCCGAAGCTTGGCCAAGACCCGTTCGCCTACAGTTTCCAGCTGGTCAAAGTTGGGGGGGGGGTTCCTAGAGCGCCGGGACCCTTCCCCGAGCTCCTCGCCAGCCCGCGGGCTAAGCCTGCCCACCCACTTCCCGCGAGCTCAGGCCCCGCCTCGGGGGAGGAGCCGAGAGGCGGCGCGGAGGCTCGCGGCGGAGCACAGCCTGCTTCTGTCGGCGCACGGGCAGCTGCGGCTCGGGGACTGCCGGACGGAGCCAGGGCCGGGAGCCGCTCGGGGCAGGCTCGGGAGAGCGGGTGAGTTCCTCGGCTACGTCGCCTCCTTCCTTGGCTTGACCCAGCAGGGGATGGCGATCTCGGCGGGGAGGTGATCCCAGCCCCTGAAGGTCTGCCTGGGGGTGTGTGGCGCGCTTTGGCCAAGGGCCGGCAGCTTAAGATAATTGGGGGAGGGGGGCACTAGAAAGGCGGGTACCCGGAGCGCTGGGTGCACTGGGGAGTCGGACTGGGGTGGGATCATTCCCCGGGTGTTGCGCGCCAATGATGAGGCCGGGTTGGGGGGCGCATTGGCAGGTTGCTGGCTGGGGCGCCGTGGCCTGATCTTGGAGCGGGCAGGGGGATTTCGTCCGTTTCTGGACTCCGGGGGCGCAAAGCCGGGAAGCGGGACGCACAACCAGCACCAAACGGCGCCGGCGCCCCGCCTCGGTCCGGCATGAGGGCGCCGCCCCCTCGCTTGGCGGCGCTGGGGCCCCGCAGGCAGCTGTTCGGCGCAGCGAGTGCTCCTGCCGGAGAGGGAGAGATCCCCGGGGCGGGCACCTCCGCGTGCAGACGCGCCCAGCCGCGGGGTCCCGCTGACAGCGCCTGCCCATCCCGGGGAGACCCCGCGCCTGGTTGTTCCCGGAGAGAGGTGCGCCCAGCTTCTCCAAAGGGCCGCTGTGCGCGGGCTGCTGGGTCCCCAGCGCCAGGAGCGCTTCTCTCGTCCTGAGTCCCGCGCGTCGACTCCGACCGGAGGAGCGCCCCCGAGCGCCTAGGATGGGCAGAAACCGTGCAGCCCGCCCCGGAGAGGCCGCGCAGACGGGTCTCCCCAAGGTCATCCGGAGTGCCCAGGCTGAGCTGCCCAGACAGCCCCGAGTGGAGAGCAGAGCGAAGGAGGCGTCTGCTGCCGCCTCCTTCCTTGATTCAGATCCCTCCCTCCTCCGCCTCCCCCAGCCCGACCCAGCTTCACTGGAGATGCTGATGATGCAGCTCGCAGCCCCGGGCGGATAATAGATCCCAGGCGAGCTGTGAATCTGGCCTTCCTGGGAGGACCGCGCGCAAAGCCTGGGACGCGGTGCTCCCGGGCACCCCAGGAGCGCAGAGAGAGAGGAGGCTGCAGCATGAGCGCTGCTCAGAACCGAAAGCCGAGCTGCTTGCGCGCCAATGTGATTGGATTCCACATAATAGGCCCCTGTTCTCGCTGTCATAAGCGCCCACCAGCTCTCCGCGGCCCCAGGCACCAGGTGCCGCCTCTGAATCACCCTCTGTGGAGGACTCCGGGGCCCTGAGGTGCCAGGCGCCCTTTTCGCAGGGCTTTCTCGGGAAGGGGCCTGTCGTTAACCGCCTCAGCCCGCGGGGGTGCTTTCCTGTGCGTTCTGCCATTTCCTGCGGCTGGTGAAGCACAGAAGAAAAACCCTTCATCTGGAAGGCTTCCTCCTGGGCGGCTAATAAAGCTGCTTAGCTCAACCAGTGACCGGCTCTTTGCCTGAGGGCAAGGCCCTTGGCCTCTTCAAGCTTCAGCTGCCCTGGGAAATGGGCTTCTGATCAGGCAGTGGGGTCGTGAAGTGCTTGGTGCAGTGGAGTACAGCCACGCGGCCACCCCTGGGTAAATCCCGGGCTTTTCCTAAGGGGTTTGAGTGGGGCGTGTCTCCTCTTTGAGGCAGGAGTAGAAGTGGAGCCCTGGTGGGTGGTTCTGCAGGGGCTGAGGGAATTGCCACATCTTCCTCCAGCTCTGTCATAAAGCCTGTAGGTGGATCGTGGGCACTGGTGAGTCCTTTCGGCTCCCTGCCTGCTCACAAGCGGCCTTCCCACACAACCCCCAGCCAGCCCCTTCTCTCCCACCTGCCACCAGGCTGCTGGAGGCAAAATGTCAGGCCACTTTGGAAGTCTACCCAACTGTGTCTCCTGGCACCTTCCTGCCCCCTCTCCGGGTCCCAGGTCTTCTTAGCCTCTGAAACGCCTTCCTTCAGGAAGACCACTTGATCCTTCCTCCTGCTCTGTCGGTCTCCTCCCTGTGACATTATTTGTGTGCCCTGAGGTTTCTGTGCTGGGACTCCTTGCGTCCTGGTGCTCTCTGGATCGGATATGACTGGCAAGGCCATGCATGCTCAGAGCCCATTCTGGTAATTGATGCTGGAGTGGGGGTAAAATTCTAATTTAGCTGTTGATTCTGTTCAGGAGCCTGAGCCAAAGGGTCGAGAGCCACGGGGCTGATGCAGGAAGGTGGGTTTTTGGTCAAGGCAAGAACCTTCCTGCAGAGCCCATTTGGACTCTTTGGAAGCTAGGGTTCTAGATTCTTCTCAAAACTCTTCTTTATTCCCAGAGTGAACATTTTCTGACCAACAGAAGCTGCCACCAGTATGGTTTTACAGATCATAGAAGGCACATACTTTGGTTTGTGTGCTCTGCTTGACCTGCAGGAACTACCCTCAACCTTTGCCCTCCTCCCCCACCCTAACTGCTCCATCCCCCACCATGCCTGACCCAGGACTTGAAGCATTTGGTGCATTTTGAATGCAGCTGGCATTCTTCCAGCAGAGACCAGGACCTTCTTTACCCCTGGCTCCAAGAAGGGCTTGGACACGCCTGCTTCCTGCAGAAAGCTACAAAGTATGAAGAGCACGGGAGCCAGATGGGTCCAGTTCCAATTATAGCTCTTTACTTCAAAGCTCTATGACCTTGGGTAAATTATTTACTCTGTGTCCTGGTTTTCTTAACTGTAAAATGGGAGTACTAGTAATGTCTGCTTCATGAGGTTGTGAGGATTCTGTGAGACCAAAATGCATCGAAAGTGCTTATTACAGCACCTGGTGTGGGCGGGAACGCAGGAAATGATTATTGTCACTCACCACCATTTCCTCCTTTGCATTGGGCTCTCAAAGGTCCCACTGCCTCCATTCTGGGGGAGTCAGACCTTTTCTGCCTCTGTCAGGACGGGGAAAGCCTCTCAGCCTGGAGCGCCTGAGGCCAACATGGGTCTGTCCCCAGGAAGTCTGTGGCTTGGCCTTCCTCACCTGGCTGCCATATCTCAGGATTCGCTGATTCATTCCGCAGGTGTTTACTCCATTCTAGACCTTATGCTTAGAAAGGGGCTTCGGGACGAATCAGGCAGCTCCCGTTCTCACTCTTTGGGGGAGAGGCAGGCCTGGGAACGGAGTGAGGACACTGTGGGACGACAGCTTCCCTGGCAAGAAAAGGGATGAATAGAGAGTGATGGATGAACAGGTGGGCTCAGGTGAGCCACCTGGGAGTCATTTCTGAGTGCCACTTTGTAGCTGGGTGGTGATGGACAGATGCCTGGGTAACAAACTCAGCTCAGGGCTTTCTAGGTATTAATCAGTGCTTGCAAATGTTAGTTGCTATTATTATTAATCTATGATGACCAATAACAGGTGGGCAAAATTTGCAGTTGGGAGCACATTTGAGCCCTTCAGACACAGTTTTCCAGGTGGCGGCTAATAGAGAGGTGGGCAGCCTGAGTAGACAGAACAGCTTGTGCAAAGGCATGGAGGCTTAAAGGCGTGGCTTCTCTGAGAGCAGTGGGCAGGAGTTGCAGCTGGAGTGTCATCATCACAGGGCTTGGCGGGGGCAGGGGCAGCAGGCAAGGTTAGGGAGGTAGGCAGAGGCCATCCTGCCATGGGGTCCGAATGATTAAACACTTGTTGACCCAAAGCAGGCACCCTGCAGCCTGTGGAGGGTTGTCTGACTATAGAGCCCGAGAAAGTCTAGGATTAACTTTGGCCTGGGAGGAAGGCTCGTCTCTGTTCACTTGCCAGTACATTAACTGTCCCTTTCTCTTCCTTGTACCAGGAAAGCACACAGGTCCCTTCCTTCATCCTGAGATGCTTTGCCTACTCTGCATATGTTTCTGTCTTCCTGGGACTGAGTTTCTCATTTGAAGGAAGGGTGTGTTGGTGGAGGAAGGGTCATGATCTGGCTCCCTTATTGATCACACTATTGTACGGAGTGCTTTTAGGGATGCTCGTCACTGTCTGAGGTCTTTGCTTGCATTGCTGTTGAATCTTCATACGAACTTATTGAAGTAGATGCATTTATCCCCATTGTACAGAAGGGGAAATTGAGGCACCAAGGTGAGGCTATTTGGTAAAGGGCATGCAGCTCATAAGTGGCAGGAACTCATGTCTGGGGGTCTCCAAAGTTGCTAGGTGCTATCCTGTACCGCCTCACTCATGTTCTTTGTAAATATCTAAAGCTGACTGCAGAATGTCTGGTGTCTTTCATGGTGTGCTCTTGGACACTGGGCAGTAGGCTCCTTGGAGATGGGTCACAGTGGGCTGTACTCTGGGTACCTGGGGACTGTCCCAGTCTCTCCCTGCTCTGATTTTTGGGAAGGCTGTGTGTGCAGGCACCTGGCAAGTGGGAGGTGTTCTTGGATGTCTCTGAGTTCAGGGCAGCATTCCTGGTTCCAGTTCTGCTAGTGTCCCACAATTGTGCCTGATGCAGGCAGTTTGCAGCTTGATTGATGTGGCAGGTGGTGGTTGAGCTTCACAGTGACCCCAGGAAGGAAGGAGTCTTTTAGGATGGCTAGTCAGAACATCATGTGACCACATACCCTACCTGTTTACAGAAGACAAATGCTCAAATTTCCTTTTCTGTAGGAGGCAGGGTTTAGGGCCAGAATTCAAATCCTGTCTCTGCCTTTGTCCACCGTTTGGGCCCTGGGCAGTTTCTTCATCTGGAAATACAGATCATATACACCTTATGTACATATACCACTCAGAATTGTCCTAAGAATTTGTAATTAAAGATAAAATAACCGGCTTCCAAGTGGTAGATAATATTGGTATAATATCGACAACATTTTCCTCTGTGCTACCTGTCAGCTGTGATTATATGGCGATTTGTGATCATTGCTCTTTTAGTTTGTCTCTCCCACTAGACCAGTGGGTCTCAACTGAGAGCAGTTGGCCCTTTAGGGGACATTTGAGATGTCTGGAGACATTTTTGGTTGTCACAACTGGGGAGGCGCCAATGGGGAGGGGAGTTGCTGGCATCTAGTGGGTAGAGGCCAGGGATGCTTCTAA